TTGTTATCTTAATTGCTTTAAGCTTTTTAATTATTTTTTTTAACAGAATTAAGTATCTAAGGGGAAACACAAGTAGCTAAGTGTTCCCCAATTATATGCCTATATGCAGGACAATGGATTGAAAAATTTATCACTGTGATGCCTGAGACTGAATTAATGTTGAGCATGGCAGAGTAATTTGATCAAGGAAAGGTATGCTGGAGAGCTAGAAAACCTCTCTGAATAGGTACTCAGGACAGGATTTCTAAATCTTTTGTCCTTAGCTTCCTATGCAGCTATTTTCTTCACCTCTTTTCTAGATATTTGACACTACATTACTTTCTTTATTAAAAACTTTTCTCTCAGTAGTAGTGGATGTTTCCAAAATGACAAGAACCTCTCTCTCTTAACCTTTTTTCTCTAATGTCAATTAGAAGCAATCTAAAAACCAGTCATTGCCTCTCTTGTGTCTCATTTACTGTCACATCCTCCCATATGTTCTGACTCATGTTTTCACAAAAAACTGTATACATTTTAGACATTCTAAGGAATCAGGAAATTGCAGCGTACAAGTTTCTCTTTCTCTTTTTTATCATCTCCAGTGACTTCCCTTTTTTACTTTATAAAGCAAAGTGATCTAGTCTTCACTGTATGGGCATCCTTAAACTAATTTAAAAAGACTTTTTTTGTTCTCATCAACTACCATTTTTATTATGACAGTACTACTAACCTCTATTGCTTGTATCTTCAAAACCCCCACATTACTTTTGAAAAGACAGACAACAACAGAACTGTTTGTTTTAGTGTCTTACTCCAAATCTCACCATGAAAGTCATGACATCTTGAGCATATAGAACAAGCACTATGAAAAAGGATTTTTGACAACTATTTTCTTGTACTCTACTTCGATGTACCCTGTTTTCTCTGATTTGGCCAAGTACATTACGTTTTTGTGCATGTCCTGCTGTTGTCCTGTGTGAACAAAATAATCTATCCACTCACTGCCATAAGCTGATATGATGCTGTCCTCTAAAAATCCATTTTGGTAAAATATATGAGACTGTAATTCATTCGTTTTCTTGCCCTCTGAGTTAGTTAGATACTTCTAGCAACCAGTCTATATCTTGAATTCTTTTGTATACACAGCTAAGTGTAATATCCGAAATGTAGCATAGCTGCATCAGCTTGTCTTCTTATGCAGTAATTTATGCCTTTCAACATAATACATGCAGAGAGAAAATACAGAAATTGCATTTTGAATAAGCCTCTTGGAGATGGAAAACTGTTTCATACTCACTGTAAGTTTCTTGTTAATGAAAAAAAAATACACCACATTAAGTATGTGGCCTTAATTACCCCATGCAAAGCTGGACATTTGTGGCATTTCTCTAGTTTTGTTTTCCACCTGCTCTTCTTAGTAGAAAGCTGGGAAAATGCAGTGAGCTACATACCAAAGCTCACATGCTGATTAGCTGTGCTTATATGCCCTGCTACACACATTGCCTGATAATTCATTCACAGGTGTGATACCACTTAGTTTTTATAGCAACTTGGGTAACACCTTGCAGAGAATGAGAAGATGGTAACAAAAAATGAATGAACAGGGTGAAATATGACTAAGAGGTCATATTTGTGTCTACTCTACAAAAATAAATTAAAACTACCTGAAGCTCCTTCCCTTTGATGCCACTGTGGTCTATAAGGAACAGTGCAGCATAAGCCACAGACTTAGTAAATGGAGGTAAATGGAAGAGGAACCACAGACATAAAAGGAGAGCAAAAAAAGACTTATTGCTAGCCAAGAGGGTTACTAGAAAGCAATAAATGAAATTACATTCTGTACATAAACAATATGCAAAGGTTAATGAACATTCAACATTGCACCCTTGTGTAAGAGTTTGTATGGAAGATTTGACCTGAGCAGCTTCAGCATCTAAGACAATATCTAGTAGTATTATTATTTCTTAAATTTGAACAGAAAATGCATGGAATTACCTTTCTCTCAATGCACCAAAATCAAACATCATGGACTCATTTAGTATCTTTTCTTGCCTGTGATTTCAGATAAGAGTTGTATGTGATACTTTTGAGTCTAGCTAATGTATTACACAAAAACTCATTAGGACAAGTGTTAGTACAAAGTTTCACTTTGGTGAAAAAAATCACAAATATGATAAGATTTGACTCTTGACCACTGAATAATGCATCATTATTAACTGTCTCACATTTCTTAAATCAGCATACCAGCTTAAATAAGCATATCAGTATACATAGAATAAGGTACCCAAGGCATATACTCAGTCTTCTGTAAATGGGCCACTTAGGAAGACTTATGGTGTGCTTATGGTATGCTACTACCTGATGTGACAGCTCTTCCAATTTTTTATGTGAGGCTGGGGACTTTTTTTCTTAAGGTTGGGTTATTTGAAAAGATGGACCACGAAAAAATTGATAATGGAACTCCTCATGCTTCCATGAAAGTTTTCTTTAAAATTGAAGGAAAGGTTCAAAAGTTCTCAATTTATGAATAAGAGAGAAAAATATTTCATAACTACGCCCTACCCCCCAAGTTTCACCAAGAAGACTGAGATGCTAACTCTGGATTTCTAACAGAGAAACAATGAGATTTTTCCTATAGTCAATATTTTATCTTTTATGCAGTTGGCCAAATTAAAAATTTGTGGTGGTAAAGGACTATGTGGCAACAAATTTCTTAAGAGTATCTGTAGTAGGCTGGCAACAAATCCAGTGCAGTTTGAAAGAGCAAAGCACACATATCCCTTACAGCCAAGCGATCTCTGCTGGCTCCCGGGGTAAATCACAGGGGTAAATCCTTCTATCACTTCCTCCTTTGGAGGATTGCCACATCCTGTTCTAGATAGGATATATCAAATATATTTCTCCAAAGTTATGGGTATCAGTGTGGATCCTTTTTTTGCCATCTTGGATGATGTGTCATTTAGATTCTTGAATGGAATAATGACAAGAATCTGTTCAGCCAACAAAAACAGGTTAGAAACCCTGGCTTAGTTTATCAGAATACTTCTAAACAATTTCAACCTATGATACCCAGGATTGTATTCAACCAAGCTGATCTCTGGACCCAGAATTATAAGCTTTTTTTATGGAAACAATGTGTGCACTCAGATCTTAAAGCATTCCAGCATTTCTAAAGAGTCCAGATTGTTCTTAACATTCATGCCAAATTATCAACAATTTAGAAAACTGTTGCCAAAGGTCATTCCAACTACAGCTGTTTGGAATACAGAGGAGTTTATTGATCTTTTCCTTTGCATAGCTCTTTAAAAAAATATTATATTATGGAAATAAAGACTGTGACAGATGTTGATCATTGCCATAGGGGAAGGAAGTAGTAGGAAGAAGGGACAGGGGCGTATCAGGGTTAAATTGAGGGTGAAAGACTCCATTACAATGCTATGGTTACGTCCCTATGTGGTAATACTCTTCTCATGATGTGACTTTAATCTGGCACTGTACTTGTGTCCCAACAAATTAGGGAAGCTGGCTCAGCTGGTTGGGACAGAGCTCATTAGGCATGGCACTTTAGGTGGCACAATTTTCACAGCTCCAAAGCAAATTGGAGTCCTCCCAGAAACACAGGTATCATATTCTAACAAATCACTTATCCCAGAGGCCATCTTTGACTGCTCTTTTGAAGTACGGTGAATCACGATCTTTAGGAAAACTTCATGGCATGGATCCAATTTAGCAGCTGGATTATATTAGTTCACATTTTTAAGGACAAAGGTTATAATAATGAGATCTTGTGTTATTTGATTTATTCAATTAGGTAACATAGTTACCTTAATGATTCTGTAACAGTTTGCTGGGTGTTAGGAGTGATGTAATTTCTTTCTTCTAGGTAATACAAAAGAAGGGAATTCCATAGATAAAGGCAGACTAGTAGAAAACAGAAGCGGGATAAGAGACAGGGCGAAATAGGAACACTTACTGAGAAACAAGGGGAAGTTACAAGACATTAATGATAGAGATGCAGTCTGAGTCAGAGTACTTTAGGGCCTTGAAAGCACAAGTAAAAAGTTTAAACCTGATACACCAGGCAAAAGAAAACAGAGAACATAAAAGACAAGCGAGTGTGTGTTAATACACACGCACACTTGCATGATGTACATGTTTATAGAGCTTAGGACTGAAACAATGGATTTTTCCTGCCTACCCAAAACTCCACGACATTGCATTTTCTATGGGACGACATTTGTGAATCCCATAACAAGCTAATGAACAAAGAGCATTTATTTCAGCTTTTACATGGTTAAGGGTGCTCTTATTTCTACTATATGGTCATATATATTTGTATTGAAGAATTTTAGTTGCATACAGTTCACATTAACAGCATACAGAATTTGACTTACAAGCTATAAAAGCAGTTAAACATGTTTTAAGATACAAACTACATTATCCGCAGACCTGAACATTTCTCAAAAGCTCTTATCTTGATATGTCTAATATCTGTAACGTTAAATGTTTCCTTTTTCATGCAAATAGATCCTGCTTACTAGGGGAATGAGAGGGAGAATGGTGGGTTGTTTTGAAGTGAGAAAAAGTGGCCTATGTTTGTTTTTTTGGAGGCTGTCCTCACCCTGCTCCTCATGCGGTTTGGGCCAACCAAAACTCACACAGCCTCAGGAGCTGCCAACAGCCCTTATCAAAGCTTGCAGCAGCTTCTCACGCGATTTACACACACACGCACACACAAATCCCCCTCTCCACCGAGCCGAGCTGTAGCTGCCCTGGGACCCTTTCTCCGGGGAAAGCGGAGAGCCTGTCCCCTCCAGAAAGCCTGGGGGTGGGAAGAAGGGATGAAGCTGGTCTTCTCTCTGGCTCTTGCTCTCCAGGGTTCATCCAGACACTCGGGAGGACGATTTAATGACCCGCTCCGCCCCTGCTTCCCCCCGCCCAGGCAGCTCGGGGAGGCTCTCGGTCACACGAGTGGGGAGCGGGAGGGGAATGAGCCGCTGTAGCGGCGGCAGGGGGAGGAGGAGAGAAGGAGGGAGGGCAGGAGGGAGGGCACGAAGGAGGGAGAAAAGAAACCGGGCAGGTGACACGGCGCGGTCTTGCTCCGGCTCGGCGGGCGCGGAGCGGGCGGCAGGAGCGCGGCGGCCATGCACGTCAATGGGAAGGTGGCTCTGGTCACCGGCGGGGCGCAGGGCATCGGCCGGGCTTTCGTCCAGGCGCTGCTGGGCAAGGGCGCCAAGGTAAGCCCCGGGAAGCGCGTCCTCCCTTTCCCTCCCTTTTGCCTCCAGCAGGCACCCGTGGCCGGGGGATGGTGGCAGCCCGCCCGCCATCCAGCCACTCATTTTCCTCCCTCCCCGCTTAGGTAGCCCTGCTGGACCGCAACTCCGAGGCCGGACAGGAAAGCAAGGCGGCCCTGGACGAGCAGTTTGAAGCGCAGAGGACGCTGTTCATCCCGTGCGATGTGACGGACCAGGAGCAGCTGAAAGGTAGGAGGGAGCCCTGAGCGCTGCGCTCCCGCGCAAGGCGCAGCGAGCGAGCGGAGCGCGCCCGGGCTGCAGCGCCGGTAAGCGCTCCGCCGAGAGTTCTGCGGGACAGCCTGCTCCCGACCGCTCCTGGCACTGACTCACAAACGATTTGTTCCTGAACCTGCAGATGTGAAATATTGCTACCGGCGTTAGTACCACAATTTCACTATGTTCCTTGGCGCATCGGAAAGAAAAGCCAAAGAAAGTCATTTCCATTGAGGGTTGTGTGTGATACTTTTGCATGAAAGCCTCTGCAGAAGATAATTGCTATTTTATGAGTAATATATATAAGCTTTAAAGCTCGGACTTGTTTTTTATGAGGTTTCAGTACAGATTCCAAGCTGCATTCCCTCGTAACAGGAGTAATAAATTCCGTGCTGGGTTGCAGTGCTCTTTCCATACAGTGCACTTACTTTCTTTGTGTGTTGCCACAGCTGAAAGCAGAACTGGCAAAAAGTGGCACACTACCTTATCATGGGGTTAGCTATAGGGTGATAAGAGTTGGCACACATTTTGTGAATGCATGGAATAAAAACATAAACGATTCCCTCACGAACGATTTGCATTTCTGTTTTCACTTAGTGGATAAACTGTTCCCTACTGAGTATCATGTAACATTGATGTACCTTCACAAAATTTCATAACAGGCACATCACTTCATCAAAGTTTCATTATTAAATGGTACATTCATAGGTAGTGACTCAGATTCAGATTTTGACATCTCTTGTCGGTGCCCTTTCCCCACATTCATTTCTGCCATGCTAGATGTGAGCAGTTTTGGTCTATTTTCATTCATGACACTTCACTGGTCACTTTCGCAACAGTGATCATTGACCATAGCCGTTCCTCTTTCAGAAAACATTGATGCTATTCCAGAATTCAGCAGTACTGTCCACTGTTCCAAGCTAGCATGATTATTCCTAATTCTATAGCTTTACTGATTGTAAGAAAGATGCTGGACTTTAAATCTGGGATCTGCTGTAATCAGCGAAGTTTTTATCAGCTAGGTTGGTTATTGACTTTTTCTCCAAGTGGGAGGAGTAAGGAGCAAGAAAAAGCATCCTAGGGGTAGGAATAAAATGTGCTGCTGCACGGGTGTTACCTCAGTGTGCCTTGTCTCCCACAACTCCTCCTCTCTTTAGTGCCAGGCGAGGGCAGGACCAACAGGGTGTGAACCGAGAGCTGGAGTGAGTAGGACAGGTCAGCAAGGGAGTTTTTGAAGCCAAGTTAGTAGGAAAAAAGCAATCGGAGTAAAACGGGAAGTGGTTCTTGCAAAGAAAAAGAGCAAGAACAGGAGGCTGCTGCTGCTAATGCCTCTACAATCATTGCATTAGTCCTGCTGCTGGTTTCTTACCATAAATTTGCAAGCATGTCTCACAATCCTTTGGGGATTCTGAGCTGGTTTTGGTGTTGTTTTGTTTTGTTTTGTTTTTAAGTGCTTTATTTTCATATTTTTCCACTTGCAATTGTAAACTATTACTTAACAAATTTAGATTAATTTCACTTCTAGGGTTTTAAAGGTCCTATCAGATGAAACAAGTCCTGTACTTTATGTTAAAGGTCATGGGTATGAATGAAGTTCCCCTTTTTTTTAAACTTTAGCCCTTAGATAGGAAGCAAATCTCAGTACTAGAACTAGAATTTCTGAGTACATGAGGCTTATGGGCAAGAAATCATCAGCTTAATCTACTTTCAGGTCTTGACTGTACTTTTTTCACTGGTAGTTCTTTCACCTAATCACCATGCTTACTTTTGCCTTCCAGGGACATTTAGGAAGCTCACATATAACTGGTGTTTGTGCTGACTTTGCATCGTTTTTCTTACATTTCCTTTAAAATTGATCCTTCTCTTAATTTTTCCTTCCCCACTCAATATTTCATACAATCATCTGCTTTTATTTTTTTATGGTTCCATAAGTGCTAATTAATGTGCAATGCAAACAGAATTATTCTACATTTGAAGAGGGAAGAATAAATCAGCTTATACTGATGTGTATGGTGACAACTTTGTTAAGAATTTACAATAAGATTCTTCTTTTTGTGGATGGGTTTACTGTCAGCAGATAAATTTTTCCCAGAAATATTCCAAACACAGATATGCAAAAACATTTTGTCTTTTCTCAATATATAAATTAGAAAACTCCAATTAGTCAAGTCTGTGTAAATTTAATTTAAAAATCATTGGCAAAATTGCTATTAAAATTACTATTATTACTGTATACTATTATTAATGAAAAAGGCAATTAGCCAGTTTCCGAAATTTGGAAGCTAAGGACCCAAATTGTACTTATTTTACTCGTTGGAAATAAGTACTCACTTCTGCTTCTAATAAAGCCAGAAGTTTTCATTTGTCCTTGCTGATGCAGAATTAGGAAGATAAGTGACTGAAGAGTTGAGAAACCAGCGAATGAATTGGCAACAAACAAAAGAAAAGAAAAAAAGAGAACAGACCAAACCAGAAATTTGTATTAATATTGCTATATTCTGGTGTAGAATAAGAATATTAGAAAAATCAGTACAATAAAGGCCGTTGGACAAATAAAACCTGTCCCATCAGCTGCCCAGCTCTTGTGTTAATCACAAGATGATGACTGTGACGGACCCGAAGCATTGAGGCAGAGAAAAGGCTGGTATAGGAAAAGCTTTGTAAACCCCTGCAACTGCTGTAGAAAAGGGTAGATGTCTGAAAGCTGATGCTGTGCATCTGATTGACATGAAGAGCCAAGCACCAGAGATCAGAAAAGGAAGATGCTCCTGGGATCACCTTTCAGTGAAATAATTTCATCAAGGCCTGTCAAGCATAATTTCGGTATACTTGAATACTATTGATTTCAAGTCAAACACCAAACAATGTTTATTCAAACAATATTGGGCAGGTGGTGTCTTGGTTTACACAATAGTAAATATTTCGTGACAAGGAACATTATTTGGAGGGGAAAACAAGCAAGCTATATATACATGTCAGATAATGTCCTCAGTCCTGGAACATCTTAGTCTGGAATGAACATCTGGAAGTCATCTCATCCATCTTGTCAAAGCAAAGTCAGGCTTGAGGAGTTTGCTCCTCAGTATGATATCATCATGTTTTTCTATACACATCTTTTATCTCAGTTCTAATGCTGTCACCTGGGAAAACACAATGTCATTGTGGAAGTTTCCCAGTTCTTATTTTTAAATTCTTTGGAAGACAGATCACTATTTTTATCCCCAGAAAAAATGAATATTTGAATTTGAGAAACACATTGTTAAACTTACCTGACAAGTAGGATATATAATAACTTATCCATAAATAGATACATCTAAACAAGAATCATGATTAATTATTTGTAGTTGAAATATTCGTGTCAGTTATTAATTAAATAAAAACTGTGTTCTTGGGCTAAATTTGGACTGAATGATGAAAATTTTTCTGAACACTTGAAGCTTTTCTTTTTCATTCAAAATAGACGGTGTCAAATCTTGACCTTATTAGATATATCAAACTGCTACAAATCAAGCTATTAATGTTTAATTTATATAACTGGGGTGCCAAACATTCTATCTAATACAAAATATATAAGTGCTAAGAACTTACATTAGCTCCTGTTATCAGACATTTTCAAATTGAATGAAGAGGCAGCTATATTATCTTAATCCTTCCACTTTCCCTAAATACATCTAATGTTGGTGCATGTTAGATAAAGTATTTAATTGCATGTTGCTCACTAGTGCTTAAGAAAATAATTAAGAAATTTTGGTAGACTAATAAACCATTCATTTTTATGTATGCATTGTATTTTTATATCTTAATTTCCAAAGTTTGAAGAAATGTCACTCTTGGATCTTACTATAGGTGCTTTCAAAAAAGTAATTGAACATTTTGGAAGGCTGGATATTGTGGTTAATAACGCTGGAGTGAACAATGAGAAGGACTGGGAAAGCACTATACAAACTAACTTGGTAAGCATTATCTCCTTTCACGTGTCTATATCTCAGTATTTAATGTTGGAATACAGTTAACAGCCTGTGTTAACTGTACAGATTTTGCCAGATGATAGAACATTAATTATTGGATTGGTAAGTACAGCTATTGGAACAATCACCACATAAGTAAGTGTGTGGTGGGTCCCTAAAATTGTCTGTCCAAGATACACAGCATTGTGTAGAGGTGCTCAGGTTATCTATTACAAGACAACATTTTCTTCCTAGAAAATCCAATTAATTCCCAAATAGGCATAAGAATTGACTGCCCAAGGCAGTAGAGCTGCATCTACAGTAGGCCAGTGTGTTTATATGAATGTTTTAGAACATTTTAGTTACTTGTGGGGCTCAGCTGACCTGCATTAGAGTTGACATTCAGTGATAATACAAGTAAACTTGTTCTCCACACTTTCTTCAACAACCATGCCAGCATAAAATCTGAGTTTTTAATATAGGCCACTTCCCCGTCATCACTGGTAGGAGCACATTGCTTGAGAGCACTTACTCAGTAAAATACAGTGTATTCAACAAGCCTGTAAAATTAATTTTCAAACAGTTTCCACTTCTTTGATATTTTCTGGTATCTTGTCAGATGAAACTATAATATCTGTTTCTCAGCTGAAAAGTTTAATTTCGAGTACACCTCTAGGACATTTAAGCTCCAAGGAATGACTTTTCTAGCATTAATAGAATTTCTAGGTTAATGTAATGCAGCTTGTAGTCTAACAAGTCCTAATTCAATGGTGATTCAGCAAGTCACCCCATGATCATAGTTATTGCAAAGAAAGTAGAAAAAGGAAGCATTGAAGAGTAAAATGTGAAGTTTTCTCATATAAAATTTGTCATGCAACAAGAAAGCTCAGAATATGAAAATTAGATGTGTTTTTGTCAAAAATTTTAAGGACAAAGATACCCTTTGTCAAGCACTGGAACAGGCTGCCCGGGAAAGTGGCTGAGACACTATTCCTAGAGGTGTTTAAAAGGCCTCCAGATGTGATGCTTGGGGTCATGGTTTAGTGGTGGACTTGCCAGTACTGGGCTAACAGTTGGATTTGATGATTTTAAAGGTGTTTTTCAATCTAAACGATTCCATGATTCTATCTTCTTTTATTATTATTACAAATAATTGAGCAGAAGAAGACCATAAGTGGTCTCCAGTAGCAGAAAATCTGAAATCCAAGTCTTAGAAATCTACATGCATATCAAGTTAGTCTCCTAATTTTTTTTAAGGGAATATTATATCGTTTATACATTATTGTATATGTAAGTTCACCATAAATGACCTAATAAATTGTTGAATGTTGAAAAATTTCATAAATACATGGTGGTGACTGGAAGATTATCTAAATGATCAAACAGAGTAGAAGTACAGTTATGTGGATTAAATCAAAGCCACTCTAAGATCCAAATAACTCCACTCACCTATTGATTTGATTGTTCTTTCCCTGTCTAACTGAGTCAACTAACTAGCTTATCTCCATAAGCATTTTTAACCAGTTGCTGTAATTTCTGTAAAACAAGATACAACACTTTGTACTTTTTGCTTTTTTAATTAAAACAACAGAACAAATATAATAGCTGACGCATATAACATCTGTGTGTTGGTTTTATAAAATATTTTTCTATTTCTTGTAGAAAGGAGCAAAATACATATGAAAATACATATGAAATACATATGTAGGATGGTGTAAGCATTCTTTGTTTTATTCCTAAGAATAGAAATAGCTGCTATAGCTACACAGTGTGATACACATTATGCACATATTTTTTATTTTAAAACAGGAAAAAATTGTCTACATGTCAGTCATTGTCTTAGTGATATCATTTATATATTGATATAAGAAATATTCCCTGCCCCAGTTTAAAGTACAAAGTACAAAAGTAGAGCAGTACAGAGCAAGACAAATCAGAGCAAACACATCTGGGGTGTGTTCTTTATGGCTAAAACAGTTCACAGAACCGGTTGGTCTTCAGGAACGTTTTTAAAGGAGTGTAAGGAAGTTGTCTGATTGTACTGCTTGAGAAAGCATGAAGAAGGTTGAAAAAGTGGGACTTAATTTGGAAGGAAAACGGAGTTAAACACAATTGCTACTGGTTTCCATTACAGTTTCCTGAGAGCAAGAAAAGACAACTTGATAAAGCCAGGAAGGGAGTATAGGAAGGACTACTGACTGCTAAAATGAAAAAATATAATTTATATCATTTGTATCATTCTAAAGCATTGCAATGCTTTCCACCATTTCACTACATTTTGTTCCAAACATCCATCTTTTCATTACTTTTTTAATACATCTCATTTTTTCTTACTTAAGTATTCCATCTATGCCATCTATTTCTCACTCAAAACTCCAAATCTCATGATGTTTACTTGATTGATATCAGCTTGATCATCAGCAGCTTCAATTAGTGATACTCATACAAGGGTACACTCTTGTTATTATGGCACATAAAAAAATGAACTTGGTAACCATATAACAATTCCATTTCAAAGAGATACTACCAGTGTAGTTTCAGCAGTCTGTCACACACACATATTTGTGCACAGAATAGCACAAGGGTGTGTGACACATAAATTCTTATTAAGGGTCCTACCTACAGTCTTCCAGCATGACAGTCTTTATTGCATTCATAAAAACTTTTGCCTAAGGGACCCAGAAGTTTTATAATCCGAATTTTTCTATTCTTCAAATCCCTGAAGCAAGAAAAGGGCCCACATCTTTACAAGCCTTGAACATGTATGTTATTTGAAAACAGCTGGGTGTTCTAAGAAGTTTCAATAATCTCATCTTGTGTTGATGTTGTTTTCTAGAACCACTGTAATTAGAGTGGCCACTATAATTACATCATCTTTTTCATTTCAAATGCACTTAGCACATTTTATACTAAGGAAAATCCAAATTATATGCAGGGCCTCTTTTTATGTTTGTGTCAGAGGTTTCTGAACACTGACATAGGTTGCAGTATACAGTTAAATGTAGAAGTATTGGTATCACCTCTGCTTACAAATATTACCTGAATCAAAAGTTTAGAAGTACTTTATGCGGCATTTTGACTACTTTGTTGTTTTATTATGACAAAAAATTAATTGTGTGTATATATTTAAACCAATTCTCCAAATGAAATTATGAAAAAAATTGAAAGAAAAATCACAATTATCTTCTGTTGATGTGATAATTTTACAGTTTTTAACATCTTCTGGCAAAACTTTAAATTCAGGCCAGAGCCTGGGCACATCAAAACACTCCAGTCATATGACATTCAATTATTTATTTAAGTCTTGCCAGGAAGTAAGTAGAATTCAAATGCACACATAAAGTTTTTTCAGGTGCATGACAGTCTTACTCTTCATTACTAGAAAAATGTAGAAATATGCAACAATTCCAAGTTTTTACATTTTTCATGAGTTCGCACAATTTATTTCCATAAGTGACAGATCTAACAAATTTCCATGAATTTAGAAAAGTCCTTTGCTAAAATGAAGCCTACCAACATCATGGTTTCTCCCTGCAAAATACTTAGATTGGAACTACAGAGAAGATAATGCACCAGTGTATACTTATGTGTGACTTCTTTCAGTATAGCTTATGGTGAAATACATGTTCCAGCAACTAGCAAAACTTGCAAAACCAATATTTGCTTATCAGTAAGGATCTTCTTATCAGAAGGCCAATTAATGTTTCAGCAGAAACCAGAAGGGTAGCTAAGCAAACATCAGAAGTGATTAATTGAATTTGTTTTTGTGACAAAGACTTCATAATCATCACTGTGATGAACAAGGTTGTTCCACTGTGCAAGCCATACAAGGGAGTATGCTGCAACCTTCTTCTGGTCCATACACCTTGCTGGCTTTTCCCAGCCTACCAGGAGAAATGAGAAGGACAGAACTTTCATCCCAGAATAATGTAACCTGGACACATAGCTGGATTCAGCAGCTGGACATAACCTCTATGTCCCACAACAGGGACAAAGGCAAGCACCATTTCTCAGTGCCAGCAACAGAGAAACAAACCAAAGCAAATGTGCTACTGTAGTAGAAGAAATGACATAGGTGACTGGTTTATTGACAAGCAGTGGCTATCTCAATGGCCTACTTGCCTATTCTTCAGAATAATTTGATGTCAGAGGACTAAGTGTCTAGGGACAGATGTGGCCAAAAAATGAGAAGTGGCACTTACCTTGAAATTAGAAGCACAAGGATCCATCCTCGAAGTACATAAAGAAGCCTCTAGGTATAATTTTTTTCTGTTTATACTGTACTAGGAAGGACACAATAACTTCCCTTAACAGCACAGTAAGTCAATGAATTTTTTAGCTTTACTTCAACCAATGTTGAAGTATAATGAAAAGCAAAGGTTTTGAACTAAGAACATAAGACCAGCTATCAAAATGGAGTAATATTCCTATGTCCTACAGGAATGTGGAGGTGTATTGAAGGGAGGGAGGGAAATAAATAAATCTTCACCATAAAAAACTGAAGCATAGTTCCCACCTTGTAAAAAACCTATTGACTTGTTGCAAATTATCAAATTCTGTTATATATTCCTTTCTCCTTTTTGCCTCTTCCACTAAAGACTTCTTGTTTTCCACAGTTTGAGTTTGGAAATGCATACTCAAGAGCTTGCAATTTCATTTCGTATAGCAATCAAACTAACCTATACCTAGGAATGCTAAGGAACTTGCATGCTTGCTCCAACTTGTCTACATCCTAGAAAATCTACATTGAAAAGAAATTAGTCCCATCTTCCTGTCCAACAGCAAAATGCTAAAACTTTCCATGGTTATCACAAGCAGCACTTTTAGTTTCAGAATTTTGTCTTACACAGTTCACAAAGTACTTTTAAATGTTTCCTTATAGATAGTCATTGATTTACAACATCACTGTATGAAAGGCAAATTATCTTGGGCCAAATTCCAGCTTTGTGCTTAATGGAACCACAAGTCAGTGGCTCTTCTATTTTTGTTCAGTACCCCTAGTACTGAACTATCTTATTTCAGGAACCTACATAAAATATTAGGATTGATTACTATTTTGTTTTCTCAAAGGAATTCATATTACCATATCACTTCAATATCAATATAGTGCTTATCTTCAGCATTGAAGATGTATTTTCTGATGATGTACTTTCTCAGCATGAATTACAAGATGTATCAGACAAGAGGTGGCAAGCAAAACCTTATTTTGTTATTACACCTTATCTTAAATGTGAGAAACTGTCAGTTGGAACAGCTGCCCTGAAACACTGGAAAGAAATGCACCATGTACTGTTATTTCCAAAGCAATTGTCACTCGAAAATAATGATGATTAATGATGTCCTGAGCACCATCAACAAAAAACTGGGTTTTTTTAATAGGTAAATCTAAAATGAAGCACAAAGTATGAAAACTGACAGATATAATGTTGGAATACAAGAACATACACATTTGCTGACACTGGTTCCTAAAGGTAGAAAAGTTAATTAGTGCTCTACTGAAGACTGAGCCTAATTAGAACCAGAGTTTCAACATATGATATATTTTAGAATGATAAAAATAAAGCTATACTGCCAAAGGACACATTGAAATGTGAAGAATCAAAGATTTTGTAAATTTCATTTCTGATTTTGACACTGGCAACTAAATTGCCATTTAAGAAACCATTAAATGAGTTACTGATTACTGATATGTTATTCTCAAAAGTAACTGCAAATATTTTGAGTATTTGCACAATTATTTTGCAATGTTTACCATGCTGTCAGATACCATATTGGATTTATTACTGCATGATACTTCAGCATGTCTGATCTCCTCTAATTTAAATCTGTAATTTATGTTAATTAATGCTAGGAGATATTCCCACACTTACCACTCTAACTTTATTTGAAAGAATCCTAAATTTTATGCTGGCAGTTGAAGAGTAAAATTATCTCCCTTGAGAGCACACTCAGATGCACCTTAATGGCCCATCTTCATTATGTGCTGTGGTAAAACACTGTATTTTGGTAACAAAATAAACAGCATTGTTACTGAGATATCATATGTTTTTCAACATCTAGAAGAACAGTAATTTAGATTATTTTCTGTCTTCAAGAATACTAATTTTCCATAGCCAGGATTAAAAAAAAAACACCAAACCAAACAAACAAACAAAGAAAACAAAACCAAAAACAAACAAAAAAAGTCAGCCATACCAATTTTTTATTTACCTACATTTAGTTGCAAAGCTGACTACTTCGATACTCCTTGTTCATGACATATTTATAAACAACATCCCTTGAGCTAAATGCAGTTGTAAACAAAGGAATCACAAAAAGTTCACCTCTAAAACTGTTTATTGTAGTCTCCCAGCATATTTTCATCTTAAGCTGAGCCAGACAATTTTTTTTTATTAGGTAATTTTAAATTTAAGTTTCCCAGAAGTTTTATTTAATAGATACTCTATGAATTATTGTTGATTAAGAACATGGGATTAAATTATTAGTCTTAAAAGTAAAATTGAGGAACTGCACAATTTGAAAATTTAGTTCCTTTCATTTAATTGAAAGGAAATTACAGACATTTTCATCATAATCTACAACTGAGGAACTGGGTTCAGAAAGCACATAAATTTGAGAGGATTGGAGAGAGGTGGATTCTGGTGAGGGAATGGGAAATCCAGTGCACGATGCTTTAAATGATAAGTGCTGTCTGCTGAAAGTGCAGACAGGTTCTTCTCACCCTGGGTATGTGGTTCAGAGTTTGCTTGAGGAATTATTTATTTGTTTTTTATCAGCCCTATCATCATAAATAGCCATTTCACCCAAGATCAGCCCCACTCAGTGAGGTTTTGGCAAGGCTCACAGGTAAGGTTACAAGGCTATAGCAGGTGTAAAGGGCAAAGTCCAAACGGAAGTCTGCATTTATCTTGAAGACCATCTCTCACAATACTTTTATGTAAAGGAGAACATGTCTTCAGCCACTTGAAGAAATATGAAGTTAATGGATTCCAGAGGGAGAAAAAGAACAATACAGTAATTTTGATCGGACATCCAAGCTACCACTGTTTTCTTGGTTTATAATTGTGGTTTGGCCACGGACTCATCTAGCTCTATTATCTCTGAATTAGGAGGAATAGAAATGCCTTCAAGGAGCCCCAAGCTACTTCCTTCTTCAACGGATTTTTTTTCTCTCATCATCCTAAGTGGAATTCTCTTTTTCTGCTCAGCAGGCTGAGCCACTGCTCCAGGGCATGACAGGACCTGCACCTGCTCTCCAAAGACAGCATTAACCCCTTTCTTTCTAAAATATCTTCTGTACAGCCTATTATACATATAGGTATATTGAAAAACATATTCCATGCTTAAGTCCAAATCTGACTTTAATTAGGTGCCAGTAAATTTATGTTCAGAATAAATATACTTTATAACAACACAACCGGGCATTAACAGTCTTGGTTTTAAGAAATCAAACTTACATGTGAAAAACAACATTAAATAGCAATAGATTAACCTTTATAATGGCTCTGCTACTTTCCAGGACATGCAAGAGAAATCTGATTTGGTTTGGTGTGTGTCAGGCAACTGAAGACATTTCTTTTGAAAGTTTCTGTTAAAGCATTTAATCAACAGCATCTTTTTTTAATTAATCAAAATATTTTTTTAAAATATGCTACTTTAAACAAGACCTTTCAAGAAGGAAAAAGGAATCTATTTATGGGAATTTTTTCTTTAAGAAAAATTTAAAATATTATTTCAGGATTTTGAAATATTCATATTTTGTGAAGTTTTACACTATTCCAGGAAACAGATATTATGAAAATATATTATTATAAAAATATCTCATTAAGTGCTGAAACCATAGAAAATGAGAAAAGATAATTCATTATCGAGATTTCAAAGCAAACTTGGTAATGAGGTCTAGGTTGCTTTGTCTCTGTCAAAGGGCAGCCTCATGTTACTTGAAAAATGAACCAGTGATATTAATAAAGTAGAACATGCATTCTTCCAAATCTGATTCCTATTAAAACCAAAAACCATGAAGGATAACTGAAATTGACTTAGAAGTACTACTTTATATTTTATAACATACATGTCTAAAAATATCATCTAATGAAAATATAATACCCATCTCAAGATTATTCCAACTTTGCTTTGAGAATTTAGATAGTGGCAGAAAAGTTGTTCACATTCTGATTTTAAAAGCGTTTCTTTTCCCCCCCCCCGGTTTCTCTAATCTCTATCCATTATTTTTAGGCAAATACAGATTTTTCAGTGTTTTTTTTATATGGGAAATTTCTATCTCCATTCTGCAGACCTTCTCTGGTCAAAAATAGTGAAATAATCATACATGTCTCATCTTTTGGACATCCTAGTATATTTGGGTCAATAAATAGCACTAAACAGTCATAATGTACAAACAAAGTTCTCATTTAAAAGCTGAAATAATATTTCCAAAAGACTAAAAGTGTGTCTCAATGCATTTGTCCATCCTAAGCAGAAATTGTAAAGCAGATATTAAACAATTACAGAGAGATGTAAAACAAATTGGTAAATACTTATGGAATTCATCACTAATGCAGCAATACTGGAGCATTTTTCTAAAGTTATTCTCTTCCACCAGTGCAGCCTGCCTGCTGCCCTTTTCTTACCATTCATTTCACTCTCAGGTAAAGTGACTTTCTGGGAGAAGCTCTCATGATTCACCCCGGAGAATGTTAACCCAAGGCTTGGTGTGTCTTTGAACATCTCAGTTTAAAAGTCTGAAGTTCAGTGAGAGGAATCTCAGCAGAATTTCTGACTGCAGTAGGGTTCAAAAAAAGATTTTAAGGAATCATATGATACCGATCTCAGAAATTTTTTTCTTTCAAAGTTCTGTCTTTGAAAAAACAACAAAAAAAAAAAGAAAATATTTGTAAAAATCACAGCTAATATTACACTAACAACATCTCACATCTCTTAGAATGTTTTTTTTTTACCTTCTCTGTATTTGCCTGTGTGGACTAACTTTCAGCTGAGAGGAATGGTAAAACTTGTGTAACTTTAGTCAGAAAATAATATGCATTTTTAAATATCCTGGGACCAGAAATATATCATGGTACTTAATCCTAAAAAGTGTGAATTTCTTTTGACTTGAGCCTTTTTAAGTACTAATGTTATCTTCAGACACAGTCAGTACATTTTTTATAATATAGAACAGATTATCTCAACAAAAATTATGGGATTTCGATCAGTTCATCTGCCACTTATATTTTTAGATAAGTTGTGTGTTTCATCTATTTACTTACTCTTTATTTCATTTCCTTCACAGCTCTTATTTCATATTTCAATATTTTAGTTTGTTCATTTGTATCTTATTAAGAGAAATAAGTAAACTGGTATTACTTCTATCTATTTCAATTGTGATTCTGAAGTTATTGAGTTGCAATACTGTGGAGTGGCTCTGCTTAAAAACTTCAAATTATAAATAAGATCACTGGTAAAGCAATATAGGTTCTAAGCACCACAATATAAGCAAGTTTCAGTTTGTAGAAGCACAATAAATATTTTTTTTAAATAACATCAATAATTCAGTAAAATATTTTGAATAGTTTCAAATAATCTTTGAGCATCTTCAATAATTCCTTCCTCTCTATACCAGACATCTGTGATTAGAGGAACCTACCTTGGCCTAGAATACATGAGAAAAGGAAATGGAGGCGATGGAGGAGTAATCATTAATATGTCGTCCTTGGCAGGTGAGAAAATTTTCTTCATAAACAATTTCTGCTGGGTTTTCCTCTTAAGTGAGTAAATCATACTGATAAGTCTTATTTTTTCTTCTCTTTATGGCCCTTCCCTGTTTAGAAATATTTTGAACTAGTTTTCATCATAGCAACAGAAGAAATATCAAACAACCACAAACTTAATTTGCTTTTTTAAACACAATTCAATAGAAAAAAACCCAGTAATTTTCCTAACCTATCAGTCTTGTGTGTAAAATCGTGAGCCTGATGTAAATTCCTCCATTCAACTCCAGAGGAAAACAAATGTATGAATATCTAAGACTAGATTATACCTACTTTATTAACAAAGATTGTCACACACCCACTCTGTGTTCCAAGTCCTTTCAGATGTGATCTACCCGTACTTGAGAAGTCATAAAATTAACAGTCATATTTCACCAAGCTTAAGCAAGCACTTTCTTTGCTCACTTCTTATCTATGCTATAACTGTATTTCACTTTATCAGTATAAAAATAGAATTCTATGGATCCTACATCAGTTGTGAGAAATGCTGCCCTGCTGTGAGGCAGAATTCTGCACCATTTCCTGTAGGTATACTCAATGTTTCAGTGACTGGGCTCCCAGCAAAAAAGCACAGCTGAGGGGGAAGCTGTACACGGAGAATGAAGTCACCTGACAACCTTCCTCAAAAATACTGGGAGGAAGTACTTGCATTCTCTCTTTTTTCTTTGGGGAAGTTTCTCTCTCTTTCTACTGTCAGACTGTCTGTGAAAAATAATAAATATGCTACCCAACACTCGGATTGTCAGAGGGGCTTTTTTTGTATCTGTGCAGATTACCAAATTCTAGTCATTTAATTCCAGGATATTCCTACATGTTTTAACAATGAAAAGCCAGTTAAGATAGCACTGGTTATAATTACCTGACTGTGCATAGGTGTGGATGTTCTGAGTACTTTTAAGTTCTCCTATAAACCTTAGCTTTTGTAATAAAAAGTCCAGTTCCCCCTACTGGCATAATGCATATGGATCTTGAGGATCTGATTTAATACATGCACTTATGTCAAAAGGGTGTGGGGATCTTATCAAAAGACTCCATGCAGCCTTGAGTCAGCATTTATCACACTGCCTAACACATTGCCTGCTGACACCAGTAAGTTTCTCTATAGGCTGAAATGGACATTGTATTGGGTCCAAATTAACCTGAAGGAAATTGCTGTTTCTGTGCAAGAGGTCATCAACACAAGTAAAAGATTAAACATTTTCACAGAAACACAGATGCCCAAGGCAGTGCTTAAGAAAGGGTAGGGGTAGCAAGAGGTTTGATCCCTTTTCTAACTGGTATCAAATAAACACAAAATGATTTTGGTTTTGAGACCTAGAAGCTTGGCTGTTCTGTTTGTTAAGACAAACAACAGTTTCTTTGCTTTGTTTGGTTTTACATAGCTTGTGTTTAACAATTGTTTCCAAGGTCATAAGGAAAAACACACTTTAAAAGCTAAATATTTTTTATTGCTTATTTATTTACTACTTTTGTAAATTTGTGCTTTATGATTATAATTCTCCTTTCCAGTCTGAAGGCCTAAGTCCTGCAGTTTATTCTATATATGAAAGACAAACTTCCACTGCCTTGCTTCACATCTCCTTCCTCACTTCTCCTAAGTGTTTTCTTAGAGCTAGCTTCTGTTGATCATTAAACATTGGAGTGGTTTTGATCTCCACTGTCCAAGTTCTCTGTAAGACAGACAGCAAATCTTCCTATGTCTTTCTGAGCAACAAAAAGAATTGTACATAGTTCTTATGTGAAATTTGATAATATTTCCTTTGTACATTAATTAACTACCAGTGTATCACCATGGGAATTTTGCCAATGATTTGGACTAGAGACAGAATCAAGCCTTACAGTATTATATTTCCAAACACCCATGGATCTACCGAAATTATTTCTGTGAAGTGGATGCTTAAAAGTGTTAATTCAGCTGGATCAGAGCCAGAGTCTGTCTATCTAGTAGTGAGTCTTCCTTTCTTTAGTCTTGACCCTGAACAGGACTTAAAAGAGAGAAATATGTGAGCACATGCAGCAAGCACTCAACTATGTCTCAGAGCTACAAAATTTAATTTTATTTGATTTGTGCATTCATATCAAGAATCAATTCTGCTAAACTGAGATAATGAGAAATGTGTTTTATTTCAAATTTGGCTCTATAAAAAACAATTTTAATTATTGCAGTGAACATAAATATTTCCATTTGCATTGGAATAGACTTAATTTTCAAATTCAAGTAATAAAATGTTCTAAATTTTTTTCTGTAGTAAGCTACACATCGTACCTTTAATTACATTTAATGGAATAGTTGCAACAGAGAAAGCATAAAGAACTAAAATTGAATCAAAAGGCTGTTTAAATTCTTAAACTTCACATGATCTTTTACCTTGTGGTGGCTGGTACCTGCACCTTTTTTGCAAAAGGTAAAAGGGCAAAAGAAATTCAAGTATAGTCACACTTTTGTTTTGATGGCTTTTGTATTTTAAAGAAGGTTTTCTGTGAAACTGAATTTGTCTGCATTTTAGCAGACAAAAAAGGTTAAAGTATTCACAGAGGGCTTAAAAAACATTAGAATTTTTTAGCATAGTATCATGCTACTTTTCTGAGAGGCTCTTCAGTGTGTCTGGGTACCTTTCTGCTGTTCAATGATTCTGGATACCTTTCTCCTGCACAGCCGTTTCAGTGGTTTGATTGCACTCAACTTCAAGCATTCAGATTCTGCAGACACCTGGTTTGTCTTCCCTTTATTGAAAGCTTCAGCCACAAAAAAATACTTAAAGTACCTGTCACATCAAACAAGCTTTTTTAGACCAGATCCTATATGTGTTACAGGAACAAAACTGAACATATGGTTGCATCACCAAGCAAGGAGTCTCAGAGTGATACAGGGGAGCAGAAGTGTCAATAGCTGCACAACTGGGGCCTTGAGTTCAGCATCATGGCAGAGCTTCTGGTCCCTCCCCTTTATGAAAAGAAAAATGCTCTGCAGAATCTGCCAGAATGAGATTTTAAAAAGTTAGAAGCTATTCCCTTCAGACTTCAGTTCACTATAAAAAAAAATCATAGAAATGGCACAGCTTAGAATTTTTACTAGGATTTCTGTTTCACCTTTGTTTTGGCATTCAGGAAGACTACAGTGGTATCATGGGGGTATGCAGAGAGAAAATCAGAAAGGCCAAAGTTCAACTTGAAACTAAAAAAGCTAATAAATCATATTCAAAGAAAGGAACTTTTTCAAATCTCTGAGGGCAACAGTGGGAGAGCATAACTAGGGAAAAATGCTTAATTCTGTTTCCCTCCAAGTTATTTGTTCCATCAAAGTGGAATGAAAAGAAATACTGGTTTCAGCAAAGCCTACGAATACAATTCGAACTTGTTGATGGAATTCTCTACCTCCAGTACTAATTTCTCAAGGTGTGGTTATTGAAGCTATTGACCATGATAAATAAGGAGCTGTGGTGAGACACCTGACACCATGTCTTCAATGGTGGAGAGATTTTGTCACCAACAAGGAGAGTAGAGTATAAGCAAGGGCAAGAATTGTCTCTCTCAGCCTGCCAGGAAATAGAGCAGTTAACACTGGAGCACAGGATTATTGTTGGTCTGCTTGAACTGCTTTTGGTAAACCAAAGAGCATCTTGAGTCATCACAAAGTCATTTGCAATTCACCATGCAGCAACATCTAGAGAGAGAAAAGTGTAGCCATAGCAGCTCCCTGCCCCTGTCTAAGGAACATTAAAACACAAATATATCACTTTCCAGAAGTGATACTGACCCATCACCATCCATTTGAATGCCCTCCTCTTCTCCCCACCATTATTTTGTGCATAATGGTCTCTAGTCTGTTTTACTGTCGTTCTGCTTTGCAGAAGATAATTAAATATTCACGGCAGCAGCAAATAGAATCCAGATTTTCTGACAAATGAATGCTCTAACTTATATGTTAGGAACTAATTTCTGCTCACTGGTTGAATAAATAAGTGGGCAGAGCAGACTCAATATGACACAGTGGTTCATCATAAAATACCAGCTAGGAGAGTCTCTGGGACACACCACTAACAGGGGCCCAGCTCTTCCTAAGGCAGGGAAGTGGCTCAGGGCTGGAAAGCCCACACGGTGGTTCTGAGGATTGAACTCAGGAGCAAAAGTGGGACAGGACTAGTACTGTTTTATGTGAGGAATGCTAGGACTAGTCTTAGATGCTTTATCCAAAGGTGAGATGATTTTTTTCTTCATTCTCCACTTCAGCAAAGATAATAATAATTTCAATTAGGAAAGAACACTGGTTTTCAAAAAAAAAAAGTGATTTGTTCCTCTCGTCCTGCCTAGTTATTCCTGCTGTCTTTGGCATTTAAGTAAGTCTTTGAACCTTATTCCACTTCATTATTGTGAGCTGTGCCCTTCCTTTGTTTATTTCTTGACTTTGTTTCTCCTCCCTCTCAAGTAAAAGGTAATTTTTCTTACTGTGGTTAAAAAATAAAAGTAAAATTACTTCTAAATTCTTCTTCAGTGTTTCCCAGTAGACGTTGTCTGTTTTATTTCTGTTAGCTGCAGCCTGATTAGAATTTCCTTTATTTAAAGCATGTAAAAGTACTTGAGAGTTTGGGATTTTTTTAAATAGTACTGTATTATTTCTAATGTGCCAGTATTTTATTTTTCCAATAATTTGAAGAATGGTGATCATCAAAAGTCAACAAACAGAGGAATATTAAGCATTTGTTGTGATCACAACCCCCAAGGGCCAGTACAAAAGCCATTTCATAAGCTTAGTTCTAAAGCAGAAGCATAACACATTAATTCAAGTTAAGCAAATAAAAAAAGAACAACCAGGCAATAGGTTAAGCTCTTTATGTCCCAGTAATGAACAGTGCTGCTATCATAGGATCATCAAGGTAGCATTTAAATCAAGATAAAACCTTGAGGCTGTCAGGTTGGTAGTTAGAGCTTTCTGCTGTCTTAGAAAGTTCTTTCCTTCATACAAAATAGATTCCACAGCAAAGAGCCCAGGCAAGTCTGGCATATATAATTTTTCTGGCAAATCCATACTTAGAGCTAGATAGTGAATTCTTCATCTCCACTGAGTTAAGTCATACCCCTTCTTGAATGTATCACCTTAAGATCTGAAGTGTGAAAGATAAAAAAAATATGAATTATTAATTGGGATTGCTTCCATTAGAATCAAACATTAAGACATTAAAATTACTATCCAGTTTTACAATAGCACATTCAGGAAAACATTTTATCCTCTAGCTTTCAGGCAGGCTGAATGAAGTTTGCTATTCATAAGGGCCTAATTTTCAGGTGGAACTACACCATCTAATGGGTCCAGTTCAGATTTCATTGTATAGTAGAAATTTTTGGCATAACTGGCAGAAATTAATATGCACTCCTGGTCTGTCATTTCTTTTTGACTAGCTCTTGGACATCAACTCACTCTTACCAGAATTAACTTCATCATTTTCTTCCAAAACCTCTGTTCTCTCTTCTTTCTCTACTATAAATAAACATTTTGTGCTCTCCCATTTAGATCATAAAGGTTCACAGTGCTAGCAGAAAATTTTTATTTCACTTCTCTTATTCCCACATTTCCTCCCTGAACACACTCTAAATGATTTCAGATGTACAGTTCACACATTATATATCAAAGCCTATTTAAAATACTTTGCTCTTCAACATCTTTTAAAAATTTTACTTATTTATAGAAGATGCCTCAGAAATCTCATTCTTGACTTTTTTCTTCCAGATTGTGTCCTCTATTTTAATTCATAGTTGATATGTACAACTTTTCCTTTTAAAAGTTGTGCTTTTATATTACTCTTATTTTGCCTGCACATTTTTATCCATGTCATTTTTTCCTAGCCTATCCCAGATTAGAAAATATAACTTACAAATGTCTACTAACTCATTTTCTTGCGTCTCTGTCACAAATTTTTTTATACTATAGGCCTGTGTGTTTAATGTAATGACAAATTAGGAATATTCGACATCTTCATCAGTTACCTTTTTATTTTAAAGGACTCATGCCTGCTGCATTCCAGCCTGTGTACTGTGCTACAAAGCACGGTGTAATTGGATTCACACGGTCCATAGCAGTAAGTATGCATTTTCCAAAAGAGTATCAGCAGCTCCTTGGGAACATGCTTAAGTTTTTCATGGTCCTTCACTATAGCCACACAACTGGAACTAGTTTTATGGAAAAAAACAAAGTGTGTAAAGCAGTGGAGGTTCCCTCCTTTCACAAAGGGAATCCAAAGATGGAACAAGTATGGTATCTGTGTGGTGTGACTGATTGAGGTTTGGAGAGCATGGAAGAAAAATGTTGAAGTGTAATTTAAGGACAGTGCGAGGAGTCCAAAAGCCAAATTCTAATCCAAGTTTTAAAAATACTGTTTCAGAACCCTGTTGCAGTTATTTAACATTTTGGTTTCCTTATTTCCTAAGTCAGGTCAATGACCAAAGTCCCAGTAAGTGACTATAGGCACTGAAGTGTACAAAAGCAACTTGAACACATTATTTATTCTTACTGACTCTTTATACTCTGAAAATGCAAAATGACACATTCAGTATGGAGCATGTAAGATGACCATATTATAAATAATATATATATAATATATATTATTTATATATATTATTTATAATAATATATTATAAATCTCAATCTCTAATTCCAAAACCTTCTAGTTAAATTGAACAAGCCCTGTAATAAAACAACTTGGAGGGAGAAAATACAACTACACTTTGATAGATTAAAGACAATCTACCCACGTAAAATTTCCAATCTGATTCCCATAATTAATCACCTGAAATTATACTTTGAACACTCTATCCATATTTCATGCCTCCATCCCCACAAAAACAACTCATTTTTCAGATTAACATAAAGAGGGTTCTATGGATGAGTGTCACATGTACCATAATAAACATATCATAACATCAAGAACATGACACCTATTTTTCCATTTTTGTTTTCTCATTATAAATACAAATATCACCATCTAAGTAGAAAAGTAAATAAGAGGAAATGCTGTCTTTAAGGAACACAGGAATGCCATGGGAGAAAAGAATAATAAACATATTGAACTACAGTATTTAGCAGGAAAAGCCATACAGCCTGATGGTGGGCAGGTCTGATACCTTACATCTAGAACTTCAGTTTCTTGTCTCCCCAGACCAAAAGGGCAGGCTACCATACCATGAAAATGACATGTGACTTACATAATAGAGGCCCCGTTCAATGTTAAAATAAATAGAATGCAGTTATGCATTCTATGCATAATAACAGTTATGGTTATTCTTGGATATATCATACATAGTCGATCAATTCTGTGCTATTGCTAAAAAAGTTCATCCCGGTTTTGACACGTACCTGGATGTGGATCAGACTTCTTTGCTGCATGCACACTTCGGAAGAACCACAAACAAGGGATCCTACTTCTCCCAAACAACTTGTGCTTCTTTTCTCATTATGTTCCTGAGCTTCTTCCTGAAAAAAATCAGTTCACAGGGACTTTCCAGTGGAGATGCTCAGTGATAGATTCATACCTTGGCAAGGACAACAGAACCACTAGAAAGGTTTAGCATTACAGTGGTAAGGATAGAGAACATATTGTATTTCTGCTGATGTGAGTAAGGTAACTACAGAATCTTAAAGGTATTTCTTTATTTATTTCAGAGCTTCCTTTTGATCAAAAAGAAAGCTCTTATAAGATTGGAAGCATACATTTGGGAGAACTTTTTCTTGTTTTTGCTTAGATTTATATCATCATCCTAGAATACTGTTAAGGACAGTACTCTTAAGACACTCTTAAGAACACTAATACTAACACTAATACTTCTTAATACTCATAAGAACACTAAGAACAAAAAAGTATTTGAAAAAACAGCTTCATGGAAAGAGTTCTGATTTCTTCTAGAATTGTTATCCTAACAAATGAAATGTGCTTTTTATTCTACTAATCTAGTAGGATTACTAGAGAAAACTTGCTTCAAACTTAGTTGTTAAAAGTCAGTAGTAAAAATCTCCTTACTTAGCAAGGCTGGAAAGTACTTTGTGGTAAATCTCATAATTTGAAAATTTGTTTACAATACTGTCTTAAAATGTTGATGACAAATGCCTACCCCTTTCTCTTTTCTAGCTAGCTGCTAATATGGAAAACTATGGCGTGAGACTCAACACAATTTGTCCAGGATTTGTCAACACACCAATTCTTCAGTCAATAGACAAAGAAGAGAATATGGGACAATACTATTCATACAAGGATGAGATAAAAAATATGATGCAGTTCTATGGCGTGATGGAGTAAGTCAAGTCAGATACAGTGCAGTTTTTGCACTTTGTTGATAAAGAACAAAGACACACTTTCAGTGAAATTAAAAGGGAAATGCTGCCTCAGATAAAAGACTATCAAATGCATTATCTGTATAGAAAGAAAAAATGGCAGATATCTAAGCCTAAGAGCACCATCTGCACAGTGATATATGCCTTTATGCATTCTCATGTCCCAGCAAAGTCCAAATCAAATTAGCAAGTTAAATATAGTGATTTTAGTTTTTAATAGCCTTTGGTGCTTCCTCATGAATTTGTTTAATCAAACTTGTTGTGAGATACAGGATATATAATTTGCACTGGATTTCACAAAATTTTCAAGTGAACCAAGATGGAAATCAGACCTGACAAAACTGGATTAAGAGCACAGTAGCAACTACCATGGATCAGACCAAAGAGTTACCTGGCCCATTACAGTCTTGCCAGCAAAGGCCAAAAGCAGGCAGCTTGGACAGACTCTGAAAACATGACAAGCATAAAGTGATATTTTTTAACACTTTCTTAGCTTCTAACAATTAGCTTCCAAGATGCTTCTGCACAAGGGAAATTGTATAACTGTATTGTTTTACCCACACTTTTCTTTATGGAAAGTATTTTTCACCTATTGACCACAGCAAACTGCATGTGAAATTATGCTAATTTGTATGTCAGCTCTGCTACAGAAGCAGGATAAATCAACAGCAAAGAGCTGCAGAGAATTTAAGGATTACTTCTGTCCATTTCCCTGACAGACAAAACTTTGATAGGAAGCCCGGTGGCAGCTGGATGTCCAGAGGCATTTATCAGAAACTAGAGCAAATAAATGATGATTTGTAAAGTAACAACTTCAGATGTAAGTTCTGATTGAGGTGAATACATATCTCTCCTGAAACACTCATACCACCTCTGCTTTTCCTCAAAATAAATTTGTTCAAATGCCAATTTTTAAAATTTTCAGATATATAGACTTACATTGAGTTTCTTGTCCTCTTTACGTGTTCTATTATATGATGACTCTGAAATATTTTTTTTCAGCCCATCAATAATTGCTGAGGGATTGATAACAATAATTGAAGATGATACTCTAAATGGAGAAGTTATGAAGATCACAGCATCCCAAGGAATTCATTTTCAGCAATATGGCCAAACACCTTTTACATCATCCAAGAGATAAATAATTGTTTTGCACTAGTTAATTTTAGCTTTTCTTAAATAGAAAAAATTTTGAAAAGAGTAATTTGGGGGGAAAAAAGATTAGTGTTGTTTCTAGATCAGTGACAGTGTTCAAACATTTGCATCCTAATAACAAAGAGATAGGAGAGAAAATCAGTTGTGGGACGATGTTACCAGCCTATTCTTATTCTATAAGCACTAGTAACAGTATTTATTTAGTAGAATAAACATATGGCTCTGAAGCCTTTTTTTATAATTATTTAGTAGTAGGGGCCACTTTTTTTCATTCTGGTTGTTCTGGTCTACATATTCCAAGCATAGTTTAGTTGATCTGACTTACTTTGTTATAATTCTTTTCACTGTAGTGCCTACTAATTTACATCTTGAATTCTTCAGACTAGGAATTCAGTTCAGGAACCTAGATCACAAATGTAGCCATAAGGAATTAAGAATTAACTTTCTCTTGTGAAATGTTGCATATGTGCAACTTAGCATATTGTATACTGTATAAGGAAGTACTGATTTTTAACTTTTTGGATTTTAGATATTTATAAAATATTTCAGAAATATTTTTGTTTTCTTTTATAATATATATATATGTGAATTTTCTCACTCTGTATATACAAGAATGAATATTTTGGCATTGATTGAAATGTTTGCTTGCCTTTTAAATCTTATTTTCTAAACCTTTAATTTCTTGCCTTCATCAAGTATAATTTCAATTCAATCCTGAATAATCTGGTTTTTATGCTGTTATATACATGTGCCTTTTACTTGTATTTTTTCACGTGCATATTCTCAGAAGTAGCATGTTATATGGTAGCAATCAAAATAAAAATTGAGCTTCCTACCTCCTGAGCAGTACTGGACCTTCTGAATCCAGGTCAAACCTCAGCTGCATTTATGCAAAAATCTTCATACTTCCTGGGTTACATGCCTAACAAGAATAATTTTTTGCATGGTAATTTAATTAGGCTCATAGTATAAGAAGATTTAATAGCTCCTGGGAAAGCTGGAAAGTGAATATTCACCCTTCTTAGGAGTACTGACTTTCATTTCATTGATCTTTGTTACTGAAAGAGTGGAAACAATAGTTCTTACCTTCTGTGGAAGGGAGTAATAAGTCTGTGGGGAGAAGAAAAGAAACAGAAACACATGCTTTGAATTTCTCATCATTCTCCCAGTGCCTCCATTTTTGGATATGTTTATGCTATTTTTAAACCCATTTTGAATGCACACAGAATGCTAGGCACACCTTTAGCATCCCTGACAGCATCTGTATATCCTTCTGGATTAAAAACTGTTATCTGATTTGATAGTTTTAGTTTCTATGTCTGTCTCATTAAAATCAGACCATTTCCCAATACATGGCAGAATAGTGTAAAAGATGTGAAGAAAACTTGAAGTCAGCATGTGTTAGTTAGGTCCTAAAGCTGATTATCATCTACTTCTGTGTGTCTCCTTGTTAAGCAGGATTTCAATGCAGTCTAGAAACTAGGGAAGGTTTAATAATGATTGTACATTCAAAACATGAAACCACCAAACACCACACTAGGACAGGAACTCAGCAGCTCCTCTTAGTAACACACTTCAAATAACTATAGGAATATTGTTGATGGTGCATTACTTGCTTGATTGCTTTTGCTCATCTCTGCTCCTTGATGCCCCAAAAGAAATTTCTGCTAAAGAGGGTGGGTTGACTTTCCCAGGGGATCAATGAAAGAATAAATAATGTAATAACGTTAGTAATAAAAGACCAGGCGTCCAACATATTCTCCCTGAAGGAAGGAAACAAGAAAGAAATGTAAAGTTAATTACAGCTAATCATTTTAGTCATTGCTCAATTAACTTGTGATATTACACTTCTACAAAATTCTAATTCTATGAATTGGCATTATTCTAAGCTTCCATTTATGTGGCATATCAAAGTCATGCAAGAAAAAATTAAATTCATAAAATATGCAATTAGACTCTAGGACACCAGAAAAATCTAAGCCTATATCTGGGAAAGAATTTAAGTCATATCTTACATGTATAGGTCTTTTCTTCTGGATTAATTTTGTAACTCAAAAGACAGATGTTTTCAAATCAAAGCCATACAGAAAATTCCAAAGCATATACTGCACTGATTTCCATCTGATGATCTGATAAGGAAGCCTCAGAATCAAATAAACATTTAAACTAAGATAAATCTCAAATTATTAGCACATCTGGAAGCTACTGGATGAAATATGTACAGTGAAGCAAAATCCTTGATGCAAATCATAATGTGAGAAATAGCCATCAAATTTCTACCTTTTTATTAAAAAGTGCCCCAAACCAATTACAGCTTTCCAGTTTCAGATAGTCTGAATTTGAACACATCTGAGGCTTTTATCTGCACAGGAAGAATAAGTCCTGGTTCCTATGTTTTGGAAGGGTTTCCTGTAAGACTTCCCCCCAAACTTTGGAAGTCTTCCAGTCAGAAAGAAAGAGAGCATATGTTTGACTTAGAGAGAGAAACACCAGAGGAGCAGTAGGTAGAAAGATGAGTTGAAGGGGGAAAATGAGTTTCATTTTTTTGCACAAAGACTGTTTTGAAACTTCATCTTCAGTTAGAAATCTTGACATAATTCCAAGACTTAATTTATTTTGCCTGAGAGACCTCATTTTAAAGACAACTGTTCCAGTGTTGTAGAGAAACCCAGCCAAAAGGAAAAATAAATATTTCAAATGAGATACACTAATTGCCAAGAACATAAAATAACAAGTAATATTCTAGACTCATATAATGATCATTATTTGGAATGAACACTCAACCCCATGTGACACAAGTTTACTTTTCAGTGTGTCCTTAGAGTTTCAAGTGGTATTTTTCTTAGGGGTAAAGAATAAATATAACTAATGAACTCCATTTTTTTCAGTGCTTATGATCCAACACAAAAGCCCAAATCATAAGGCCTTTCAAATGCTTTGTTACATGACAGTTAGATAATTTATATTATTTAATTCCTTAATTCAAGGCATTTAAGAGATAGATAATCTACATAATTGTGTGGATTGTTCATTGCATTCTGTAGAGTTTAGAATGACATGGAATTAACTTGTATTACAAGTACCATAAAATCATATTTGTATCAATTTTGTTATTGATGGGGTGAACCATGGAGTAACAAATCCTTCTCATAGTTTTCTGAAATTGAGGAACCCTAGATATGAGAGTCTAGATCTTTTTTTCTTGTTTGAAACATAAGCTTTGCAAACAGTAAACCAAAAATAAACTTAGAGAAAACCAAAATCTGATTTCCCTGAAATAGTGTATATGAGACTAATCTTTAAAGGAACAGCATTAGCTATCTAAAGCTATGGCTTTTGGGCAGGATGGGGCTCTTCTGACTGATGATGATGATTTCCTTCCTCCAGTGCTGAACTGCTCTAAACTTTCTACAAGATGATTCTCCAGCTTGAACTTCCCTTTTAGCTAAGTCTATTTGCTTTGCATCAAGAAACGTTGACAGTTTTCAGCTCCAGCTCCAGGAATCCAGATGGTGCAATGAAAGAGAAGGATAATACCATATGATTTAGATTTCTTTTCCCCTCCAGTGCATAAAGGAAGAGCTTAATGTCAGGCCAAATTTAAAATTAAAACCGAAAGGGACACTAAACAAGAAGCATTATGCTCTTACTCTGATGGAGACAGTAAACAAGAAGAGAATAGATCAGGTAAAAATAAGGTGTGAAGAGGCTAAACCTGGAACATCTTTAAAATAAATAACTTCAACCCCACTGTTTAAGTGAAAGGCCATTACTATGCACTGTGGCCGAATTTTAAATCTGGATGTTTTCTGATTTGTATAAAGACAGTCTAACACACTATTCTATCAGGGATTCAGAGGATAAAATCAGGATCTTCACAGTAAAAATTAATCTTAATGAAAAAAATTTGAAATATTTCAAGCAATCATTTAGCAGTGAAGCATTTGAAACAGTTATATATTCAGGTCCTTTTATTTTTCACAAGCTCTGTGTTAATTCACTGCTGGCATCTGCTGGGCAAACTTCACAGAGATTATTACTACTGCAGAGGTGGAATTAATTTCTTGCTACAAGAATTGCACTTTTTCAGCTTTCACTTTCATCAGATGGTTCTTAGCCCTCCTCCTTTCACACAGAAGAGAGGCTGCACAGAACAGGATGATCATCTGGTGACAGGTCTGACATCTAGTCCAGGAATCCTGAATGCCTGAAGGCTCTGGATTTAGCCTCATCCAGCAGAGATTTATTGTTGTGACATCCAAACAGAATGGAAAAGATTTACCTAATCCCCTATTTTTCACCCTGACCCTGCCAACTCCCTCTCTTCATCTTTACATTGGACTACCTTAAACACGAGCATTTTGGAAGTGAACCACACTCCAGCTACACCAAAACAGCTGTGCTTCTTCAGCCGCCGCCAAGAACACATTCACTTAGCACATCACTCATTTCACTCATTTCAGAGAAACTGTAAGGCCAGTTTATTAGTTCTCATGATGCTCCACATCAAAGAAATGGCTCAAGGTATCTCAGCAGCTTTTTTCTCTTTGCAATGGAACCTTTCCTCAGCAGCCACAATCTTGAGAAAGAAAAGAAAGAAGAACAGGAAGGAAATCAGGCTCTCAGTGACACAGCTTTGAACTCTTTATTATAGGACATGGGGATAAGCACATTCTGCTTGCTTGCAGGAAAAAAAAGCACATAGATAACTTTCAGTGCACTTTCCCACAGCTGCAAACAAAACCTACAGAAGTGAAGTGGAAATAAAGATGTTTTTGTGTGGGCACACAGATTGAGAAAGCAAGAAAATTACAGCCTGAAAAATATTCCGGGCCAGAGCTTCTGAACTCTGTTCCCAGCCGATAAGCTGGTGCAGCTGAAGGCTAGGGAGAATTTCTCCCAGGGTGATAACTTGGTCAAAATAGAAAGGAATTAATAACAAAGATAGAACACCTGTTGTGGTGTGTGACCAGGCCCTGGGAATGGGGTGTCTTCTCTCTGAACCAATCATCTTTTTCTACTTTTGGAGTTGCAAGTCATGCTATAAAAACAAGTGTGCTTCTGAATAAACTTGTCTCTCTTTCTTTCCTATCATGAAAGAAAACCATGTGTATTTCCGCCGCATTTAAAGGGTTAATACTCCTTTCCACGGCTACATTTTTTGAATATAGGAATGTAGAACTCCTCAGAAAAAAAATAGCTGTATTTTGGTTCATCTAGCTATTTGGATTTACTTAGTTTAAATGACTAACGCTTCAGAATCCTGTACATTTGACCTTGAAGCATTATTTCAGCAATTAATACTACCAGCATTTAACATCATTTATACACGAACAGTGCAGTTCTCAAGAAAGACCTAGAGATGGGCAGTGAATCCTGAATTCTCTACTACTTATTCTGGAACAGTTCTTAAAAAAATGAAAGAGCTTCCTTGTACAAAATCCTTCTGGCAATTTCACTTCAAAAAGATATAGTGCTCCTTTATGGAACTTTTATCCTTCTCTGCATTTGTAAATCTGTTTAAATAGACTGCCCTCAGCAATGCTTGCAAATTAGCTGACACTTATCAAAACTATTGCTCTTGGTTTGATTTAAGGGAGTTACTGTACTGGTACATATTAATGAAATACTTGAGAAAATGCAGTTAGCATTTTTTTTAGATATCTATCTATATATATGTATATATGTACATATATGAACCTACTACACACTCACAACTTACACATACAATAGAAATCTTTTATTTTAGAGCAATAGTCACTATCTGCATGCCCCTGGAAACAGTAGCTTTCACAAAAGTTGTGAAGCATTATTTCTCAGTGATGTTTATCTCCCAAATCTGGTGTCTTAAGATCATGAAATAAGCTTAAATCTGTATAAATTACATTTTATTGAGAATATTTTACCTAGTTGAGTTTGCAGTTTCATTTTTCTTCTCAGTTTCTGAAATATATCAAAATTAGATTTGCTCTTTAATTTAAATGATCATACACTAGCTGATGTATAATCTTTGACTTATTATGGATCCCTCAAATGCCACCTGCTGAGGCAAATCTCTGCTCTTACCTACTATAATTTATTTTATATTATTTTATATACTATCATAGATAATCACAGTCACTGGAAGGTTTGTGATGCTATACATGGGATACTTCCCAAATATTTAATGACAGAGTCTTTAGAATTGTAGAATCACTTAGGTTGGAAAAGATATTTAAGACCATTTAGACCACCATTATGGCAGGGCAAATTTCTATTTTTTCATATGGGTTTTCCTTCTTTTTTTATGCTGCTAGCATTA